ACAAGGGGGCGAGGTGGATCGTCTTTGCCATCTCAGGCAGAATGTGATAGTATCGTTTTCTCTCCCTTCCCACAGACAGCGGTCCCAACACTTTGAGGGACGCATGCAAGCACAAGGCAGCAGCGAGGTGGATCGTCTTTGCCATCTCGGGCACCATCTGTCTCTCTTCTCCCATCCGCGTGCCTTCCTTCACCACCATAGACGGCCGAGGCCAGAGGGTAAGATATTCTGGCATCCTCAAGTATGGCAAAGGGTGAGTGAGTATGGCTTTGATCCCGCCTGCTTCCGCCCTCAAGTTAAATGCCCCTCTCCTCGCCCATCCGCGTGCCCTCCTTCACCACCTGCAATGGCCGAGGGCAAAGGGTGCGTTTTCTTATTAGGTCAAAGGATCAGCTGTTTTCCATGTCAAAGAAAGGGGTAGTTGCTTCCTTTCCCCCAGTTGACTGCCTCGACTTGCCCATTCGAGTGCCCTTCTCCACCACCATCAACGGCCGAGGACAGAGGGTGAGTGAGTCTGGCCTTTATGAGCAAAGGCGAGCGGTTTTTTCAGGGGAGAGGGTCGATGGCCGAGGACTGAGGGTGAGTGAGTCTGGCCTTTATGATCACTTTCTCCCCTGGCTGAGGTAATGATCGCTTTCTCCCCTGGCTGAGGTAATGATCGCTTTCTCCCCTGGCTGAGGTAATGATTCCCTTCTTTCCTGGTTGAATGCCCTTTCTTCGCCCGTCCGATCCGAGTGCCCTCCTTCACCACCATCAACGGCCGACCGTGGCCAGAGGGTAGGCAGTTTTCAGGGCTGAGAGAAGACTCTTTATTAGAAGAGCTGGTACGTTGTTGTTGCTGATATTACACACACACACACACACACACACACACACACACACACACACACACACACACACACACACACACACACACACAAATAATCTGAGACAGCAGAATTCGAAATTTCTTCTAACTTTTCAGCGGCCAATGTCCTCCGGGTCACCACCTCCCCACCATCTTTCCCTCCCCCCTTTCCATTCCTGCCAATTTTTTCCATCTCCAATCCTGTTTTCCATCTGGCCTCGTGATACCCTCCTTTCCTCCTGCAGGTGGTAATTCAGGGTGCCGGCCTGCAGCTGCGTGGCTCGCAGCACGTGATCCTCTGTTGTTTTCTCCTGACAGGTGGCCGGGGCCACGATGCAGATGCGATCCAGATGAAGCCCCAGGTGGCCCATGTGTGGGTGGACCGATGCGCTCTCACAGATTATGACGATGGTCTGATTGACATAACAAGAGGGTCCACGGATGTGACTATATCGAGGTAAGGTTGATGGCCCTTTTGAGCTGATTCAATATTGGGCTAATTTACATAACGAGAGGGTCAACTGATGTGACTATATCGAGGTAAGAGTGATATGACCTTTGGGTCAACTCAGAGTCACCACGGTTGTTCTCTTGAATAACTAACTTTGGCTTCTCCCAACTTCCATATGCCTTGTCTTGTCACCCATATGCCTGCCTAGTTATCTTCTCCATTAGTCACTGTCACATGCATAACAAAGCTATGCTGATAGGTGCAGACTCGAATGCCCATCATTGCCCCTTCCTCCCACCCACCCCTCCCCCTTCCCCATCAAGACAAAACAATTTTGATAGATGCGGATTCAAACGCTCGCCGCTCACCTCTCACCACCCTCCCCACCTCCTTCCTCTCCAGGTGTCACTTTTACAACCATGACAAGACGATGCTGATAGGTGCGGATCCGAAGCACACGGAGGATCGGGACATCCGAGCCACCATCCACCACTGCTTCTTCGATGGCACCAGGCAGAGGCACCCGCGGGTTAGGTTCGGCAAAGTGCATTTGTACAATGTGAGTAAGGGCAATCAAATTTTATATTTGCCAGTTTATTTTATCGAATAGCGTTGAAAGTGAGTAAGGCCAGTCAACCATAAGGTGCATCAGTCAGGGCAATTAATGCATCGGTCAACTTCAGTAACGTTCAAGCGTATGCACGTGCACAAGGTGACTTCTGAGTCAACTCAAAAGTCACCTCAATTTCAGTAAAGTACGAGCGTATGCACGTGCACACATGGGGGGGGGTGTCTACGCTGTGTTTGTGCGTGAAAAGTCTCAAAAGCAACTCAATATGTCCCCGCCCCTCCTTCCCGTTGTCACTTCCTATCTGTGTTGGTGTGCAGAACTGCATGCGAGGCTGTGGGTATTGATCTTTGTGTGCAGGACTTGTTTTAAGAATAAATCCTTCCTCCCTTCCCCATCGCGCCTCTCTCTCCTTTGTGGTGCGGCGTGCAGAACTACACGCGTGACTGGGGGGTCTATGCTGTGTGTGCAAGTGTAGAGGCACAGGTGATTCATAGTGATGGTATATTGATGTGTTTGTTTGTTGGTGTGTTGGTGTTTAAACTTTGTCCCATCCCCCTTCTGCCTCTCAGTCTCCCTCTCTGTTCCTTGCATTGTGTCGACTCTGTTAAAACCCCGCATCTGTGCATTTGCATGTTGCATGTGCCTATCTATGTGGGTGTGTTGTGTATAAATGCATGAGCAAATCATGTACTCGTGTGTTTTTTCCCTTTTCAGGTCTTCTCGCAAAACTGTATATACGAAGCAGGGAAGAAGAAAAAAACATTCGAGTACTATTCCGAGCAGGTGAGAGACACTTTGGGCTTCTTGAAACATCTTGGCATGACAGATAAATGCCTTTTGAGGCGCCTCAAAGATTAGATGCTGTCATGTGATCCACTATCTTCAACCTAAAAGAAAATAACTGAGTGATTAAAGCTCAAGGCCCAAATTGTGTTCAACCTTACTAAGGTTGACTGTTGGGCTGTGGGGTAGGCACTCACAAAAGTGGGCGGGGGTGTTGAGCGAGGGGTGTTACACTTTCGCCCAACCCTTCGCTACACTGTCAAAGGGTGGGGTCTTCGTGTTTGGTTTCGGAAGTCCCAAGTTGTCCCGTGCTGGTTCACAAGTTTCCTATCAGCAGGGCATCAAGATTACTAATCATGCCCTGCGCGATCCGCAATTTGGGTCTTGAGCTTTAACTAGAACTGATTATATTTCATTGACACTTTTGTTTTGGACGGGGGATCGACGATGCAGCTTCTCACACTTCTCGCTTCATCAGGAGCAGGTGCAATGACGATGGTTTTTTAGAAATCCTAAAGACCATCGTCATCAGAAGCAGCGTCCCTATAGCACCCGTACAAGCTTCAGAGGTGAAGCTTCTCTTTCTCTATGCACCCATGCAAGCCACATAAAAGGCACTTTATGGTGCGCCTCTCGAGTCGACTTACCTGCAAAGTCTTGACCGCGCACCACAAGGTGTTTTGTATGTGGTGATTGCTTGAAAAAAAGATATGCTTTGAGACGTCTCAAAACATCTCTTTTATCATGTGTTTTTTATGTGGTGATTGCTTGAAGACGTCCGCCACCATTGGTGGTGCTTGACGTGCGTTTCCTCTGGGCAGGCGCCTCGGCAGTTGACTGATCCGCACCGCGCCGCACCGCAGGGACTTGAGCATAGTTTTTGCCCGACCCAAATATCGCCTTAAATTCTCGAGTCTACTCGACATTTGCCATGGCAGTTGACTGACCCGCACTGCAAGGAATTGGGCGTCGTTGAAAACTTCTGTTTGGCACTTGAGTGATTTCTCAGTGTGCTCCACTCGCCTCTCTCTCTGCTTCCCTCCCTCCCAGGCACCTGACTGGCCAGCCCCTGAGTGTGGCAGCCTCAAGTCGCAAGGCGGCTTGTTTCTCAACAGGGCACAGGGCAAGGAGCAGGGCAGCGAGGGGGTGTTAGAGCCAATGTGTTCCACTGCCCCTCGCTCTCCCTCCCTTCCCTCACCACCAGGCGCCTGACAGGGCAGAACCTGCAAGTGGCAGCCTCAAGTCCCAAGGGGACTTGTTTCTGAACGGTGCGCAGGGCAAGGAGCAGGGCAGCGAGGGGGTGTTTGACCCTGGCCACGTGTACAGCTGTGATTGGTCGCTGTGGGGGCAGTGCAGCCGTGAGGCGGTTGTGGCTTGTGCTGGCTGGCAGGACGTACCTCTGCCAGCAGACACGTCTGCTTGACTCCTGTTGACTTGCGTTGACTGGATGGCTGGCAGGACGTGCCTCTGCCGGCAGACGGTTGATGTGATGATGTCTTCTGGTTGACCCTTGTTGACTTGCGTTGACTGGATGATTGGCAAAACATGCCTTTGGTTGTGCAGCTGCGACGCGGTTGTGGCTTGTGCTGGCTGGCAGGACGTGCCTCTGCCGGCAGACGCGTCTGCTTGACTCCTGTTGACTTGTGTTGACTGGATGGCTGGCAGGACGTGCCTCTGCCAGCAGATATGTAGCGGTGATGGTTGATGGCGCCTGGTTGATTCTTGTTGACTTGCGTTGACTGTCTCGGGTAGCACATGTGCTCTGGCAGTATGTGCCTTTGCCAGCAGACGTGTAGTGGTGATAGTTAATGGTGCCTGGTTGATTCTTGTTGCCGTGCATTGACTGAATGGTTGACAGGATAGGCTAGGCTGGCTGGTGGCAGATGCTTCCCTGCCTGCAGGGTTCTAGGGTGACGGTTGATGGTTGGTTACCGGTACCTGTTTGTCACAGAAACAGAACCGTGTTTAGAAGGAAGTGAGGAGGCTTCATCCTGTTTGGTTTTTTCATGCTGGACTTTCAAGCTCCTTCCAGCTTGTTCTGGCATCAATGCGTACCGTATGTCAGATCTAGTGGTGGAACTTGAATTGTGCAGCAATAGCCTGGAGAGGGATGGTTGGTTGCATATCAATCCCTCTGCTACTGAGAAAACAACCTCTGCTGAACACTCCCACAGATGCGCGAACGTTTCCTAACGTTCAAATTGCAATGAGATAAGGTGGTGGCAGTACCTTCATAGTGGCATTGCACAAATCATTATAAACACGCAATCCATGGGAGACAAAGCATATACAGAGCTCATGGCGGCCGTGGTGTCAATGGCTTCTCCCTTGAGGGAGGATGTAGGGCACTATTTGGCCCTAGATTCCCAGTAGAGGTCAATAATTTCACCCAGACATTTCATAAGATCACCTCCTGCTGCGCCACTCAGCGCCTTCTCTTCCGCGCGTGCCAGCATGTCTTCTAACGCGGATGGAACCTCGGGATCGTCGCGAACCATCAATGAGCCAATCTCGAAAACCGTTCGATTTGCGGCCGACCCTTTCTTGAGCAGAAGCGTCGCCGCGCGAAACACGCGCGCGCACGCGTCTTTCACGGCCCAGCCATTCGCCTGCAGCAGCGACAGATCAGCTTCGGCGTCAAGTCTCGCGATATAATCCCTGACTTCCTCGCTTAGAGGCTGCTTCGCTTGTGGCCAGTACAACCATTCAAATGTACAGTCTTCCAACGTTTCCGGAAGGCAGTATCCGTGATCGATCGGAATCAGCTTCAAATCTGCGCCGTCGCTTTTCACCAGGATGTTGGCGCAGTTCCTATCCGCGTTCGCCAGCCGCATATCCAGAATCGCGATTTTGTGAACCTCGGAAGCAGCGAACCGAGCTGGGCCCATATCCTCGCAATTGCTTACAGCGGGAACAAACTGCTGCAACGATCCAATCTTCCTTATTCCGAGCTCAGCAGAAGACAGGCAGCCGAAGATTGAAACTGGAGAACCCAATGAAGACGCGAAATATTTTACATCGCAAGTAACCAACGAGGTTCGAGGCACTCCTGCGAAACCATCTGCGTCGCCTTCGCGAAGTGGGTGGTCCAAAAGATACGCTGCGACTTCGCGGAACGCGCCTTCGCCAACACGAGTTCCACGCTTCAGTCCTTCGCCCGTTAAGCTCGGCGGCATCCCTCGAGGGCAATTCCAAGCCAACGGCTCCTCATCCATCGGCTTAAAAACCGCAATACGCGATTTGCCCGTCACGTCGCGAAACATGTAAGTACCGCCAGAGCCGTCCGGAGTAATTTCGGGAGCCTGGCCGGCTAATAATCCTGCGCTGACATCAGCTAAGGTTCTTTGTACAGCAGCACTCTCTGCAGGGTTACCACACCCAAAGCCAGTTGACTCGACTATTGGAAAGCTATCGGTCTTTAGAAGAGTGCTATCGGCACTAGTCCTAGTTGCGAGGCCGTGGCACGAATGAAGCCGTCGCTCAAACAACCGAAGGATATTTTTGCCAGCGTTATCTACCGGGAAGCACGGCTGGGCGACTGACTGCACGGTGGTCAACGACGGAGAGATGGACTGGGCAATGACCGTCAACGACGGAGTGACGGACTTGACAATGGCCGCCATTTTCGTCGGAAGCCAAGGCTTAGCGGTAACGGCGATGATGGAGGATGGAGGTGGCGGTGGTGCTGTGGAGTGGCCTGCGTTTCAGTGCCTCACTACTAGCTGTGGTGTGCTGAGCCAAGAGACTAGCATGTATGTGGTGAGGTGCTGCTGGGGCTCGAGTGAGGCTTGGCTAGGTGGGCCAGCAGCAGAGGTAGCAGCTATTGTTTTCAAACTGGCTCTTTTATTTTTCAGAGCTGTTTACTCTCTCGAAGGTTCTCGAACAATCCTGCCCAACTGGTCCCTTTCCACAGCGAGCAACCCGTCAGTGTCCAATTTGATCGTCAAACTTTTGGGAAATACCACACTGCCAAAAAGCAGAGCAAGTGGTTGGGGTTGGGAATGTTAACCATCAACGTGATTCGTTGCGCACGTCAGATACAGTCACATACACGCACGAGCAGCAGCAAAAAAATCGCGCAGGTCGCATAGGTGGCAGAGGAGTCCACAACGTTCGCAGAACCTGATGCTTGGCTTCCAAGGTGGTCTTGTGGGGGCTCGGTTTGCCCCCGTGATGCGTGTACTGTACTCGCAATTACACCGTGTAGTAAACATTTACATCGATGCAGATCGAATCTATTATATATAATCTACAATTGTAGTAAAGTATCACACTCATTAGTCAGAGAACCATTTGAAATAAAGTGTCAGCACTGATGGATCGGTGCCCCCTAAAATCTGAAGGTCTGGTTGCTATGCAACCCCAATATTTGCTGAATGGGGAGGACCCTGCTGGCAGATCTATGCCCCTGCCATCATATTCATAAAGCCCAAGCGGTTTACGATTGGTTGAAATGTCACAAAACCATGTCACCCTCTCTCTCTCTACAGGTTATTGTTTTTTGGGTCAAACGGTTATTGTTTTTTTCTTCTCCCTGTTGTCTGTGTCAAACTGTATGTGCTGCATATTGTCTAGGCTGTAGTGGGGTAGCCCATATGGGGTACAACCAAATTAGGGTTTACTACTTGTACTCCTGCATCCTGCTAGTTCACACCATTCCTGCTGCTAGATTCTAACATGGTTTCAGAGCACTAAGGTCCGTAGGACCGTTTTTTTTTCGGGCCCACCTACCGCTGCGGTTACCGCGCTACCCCACGTACCTGCCTGCCTTGCCTTGCCTTGTGACGTGCTGCCCTAGGCCAGCGCGCTGCCCCTAGAGGCCCGTAAGGCCCGCGCGCCGCCTCTACACGCCCGTCAGGCCCGCACACAGCCCCTGCAGACCGTTAAGCACGCTGCTGCCGCGCGCTGCCCGCACCGAGACCGCGCAGCCCGCACCGAGTCGCGCGCAGCCCGCTGCAGCCGCGCGCAGCCCGCACCACGTCGCGCGCAGCCCGCACCGACCCACACGCAGCCCGCTGCAGCCGCGCGCAGCCCGCACCGAGCCGCGCGCAGCTCGCAGCTGCCGCGCGCAGCCCGCGCCGAGCCCACGCAGCCCGCGTCGAGCCGCGCGCGGCCTGCTACGGCCTCGCGAGGCCCGCGCGCGGCCCGCAGCAGCCCGCGCCGAGCCGCGCGCGGCCTGCTACTGCCTCGCACGGCCCGCGCGCGGCCCGCAACAGCCCGCGCCGAGCCGCGCGCGGCCCGCTACTGCCTAGCGCGGCCGCGCGCGGCCTGCAGCAGCTCAGCGCGCTGTCAGCGCAGCCCGCGCCGAGCCGCGCGCGGCCCTCTGCCTCGGCCCCGACCTGCCGCTGATGCGGCCCCGCCCTGCAGCTGCCACGGCCCCGACCTGCCGCTGATGCGGCCCCGCCCTGCAGCTGCCACGGCCCCGACCTGCCGCTGATGCGGCCCCGCCCTGCAGCTGCCACGGCCCCGACCTGCCGCTGATGCGGCCCCGCCCTGCAGCTGCCACGGCCCCGACCTGCCGCTGAAGCGGCCCCGCCCTGCAGCTGCTTCGGCCCTGCTCTGCAGCCGGTGTTGCGGCCCCGACGTCGCCGCTGTCGAGCGCCGGCCCTGCTCGCCCGGTGAGCGCCTGCTCTCCCAGCCTTTGGTGAGCGACTGCCTGCCTGCCTGACGGCCTGCCTGTCTGCCTGCCTGCCTGCCTGCCTGCCTGCCTGCCTGCCGGCCTGCCTGCCTGCCTGCCTGCGCGCCTGCCTGCCTGCCTACCGGCCTGACTGCCTGCCTGCCGGCCTGTCTGTCTGTCTGCCTGTCTGCCTGCCTGCCTTCCTGCCTGCCTGCCTGCCTGCCTGCTTGCCTACCTGCCTGCCACGCCTGCCCTGCCCGCGCTGCTGCTGCTGCTACTGCTACTGGCAGGTGGCCAGATGCAGCTCCAGCGACGTTCACGCGAGCCTCTCACGCCCCAGCAGCTTAGTGAGTGGTATACTAGCTGGGGTTGTCGCGGTAGCCGTCGTAGCTGTCGCCCTGGGGCTGGTCAGTTGGGAGCGTCTAGCAGTGGCCAGCTGCAGCTGCAGGGGCGTCCACGCGAGCCACTTACGCCTCGGCAGCTCCAGGAGTGGTACGCTCAGTGTAGCAGGTCTACCCGTACAGTTCGCTGCCCGTACGTCATTCGCACAGGTGCTAGGACTGGTCAGCCTTGTGGGACGCTTGGTCACACACAGTCCCGCTGCTTCGCCCGTCTGAGCGACGCCTGGCGCACAGAGTTTGGCGACGAGGCTGAGCTCCCCACCTGGCTGGAGCTGCATGGACAGAGGGTAGATATCTTTGCGCGTGACTATGATGCTATTCTCACTGCCATGTATGCCTTGTCTACTAGTGCTGACCGTGCCTGTTACCTGTGCGTACCGCCTGACCCTGGTGAGGCTGCTGCCCTAGGTGCTAGTGCGTCTCCTGCTCTAGGTGCTGGTGAGGCTGCTGCTCTCGGTGCTAGTACGTCTACTGCTCTAGGTACTGGTGAGGCCGTGGCTTCAGGTGCTGGTGACTCTGCTCTCTCTGGTACTGCGCCCACTGCGGTCTCGCACACCTTCACCCTTGACTCAGGAGCTTCCCGCTCCTTCTTTCGCGACTGCACCGCACTCACGCCGCTCAGTCGGCCAGTCCCGGTCTCCCTGGCGGACCCCTCTGGGGGTCCAGTCATTGCCCACCACTCCACGGTTCTGCCGTGTCCGGCCGTCCCGTCTGGCTTCCTGTCAGGTCTTTACCTCCCCTCGTTCTCTACGAACTTGGTGAGTGGAGCTGACCTCCAGGATGGGGGGGTTCACCAGTTCACTCCTGCGAGTCAGCGAGTGACTCACTGTACGTGTGCTAGGACGGGCCGGCACTTGGCCACGTTCACCCGTGCACCTGGCTCGAGTCTGTACACACTGACCACTGCGTCCCCTCAGGTAGCTGCGTCTGCGTCTACGTCTGGTCAGCAGGCGGCCCCCTGCGAGTGTCGCGCTTTGTCGCACGACACTCTCCTGTGGCACCACCGCCTTGGTCACCCCTCCTTGCCTCGCCTGCGTAGCATGCACTCTCGCTCCCTGGTCTCTGGTCTCCCCAGGTCTCTGCCTGCCCTCCCTCCCTCGCCTGCGCCGCCCTGCATTCCTTGCGTCGAGGGGCGGCAGCGCGCCGCTCCTCACTCCTCCTCGTTTCCTCCCACAGAGGCTCCACTGCAGACGCTCCACCTGGACGTGTGGGGCCCAGCCCGCGTCCAGGGACAGGGCCACGAGCGGTACTTCCTGCTGGTTGTCGACGACTACACGCGTTACACCACGGTCTTCCCCTTGCGGAGCAAGGCGGATGTCCCTGCTGTTTTGATCCCCTGGATCCGCGCAGTTCGTCTCCAGCTCCGCGAGCGGTTCCGGTCGGACTTTCCTGTCCTGCGTCTGCACTCTGACAGAGGTGGTGAGTTCTCCTCCAACCTCTTGGCAGCCTACTGTGCGGAGCACGGCATCGCCCAGTCGTTCACGCTTCCGGCCTCTCCGCAGCAGAATGGGGTTGCTGAGCGCCGCATTGGCTTAGTCATGGAGGTTGCTCGTACCTCCCTGATCCATGCGGCTGCCCCCCATTTTCTGTGGCCGTTTGCGGTCCGGTACGCCGCGCATCAGCTCAACCTCTGGCCCCGTGTCTCCTTGCCGGAGACCTCGCCCACACTGATGTGGACGGGGAAGGTTGGCGATGCGTCGCGTTTCCGGGTCTGGGGTGCTCGTGCCTTTGTCCGCGATACCACCGCGGACAAGCTCTCCGCCCGCGCTGTTCCCTGTGTCTTCCTTGGCTTTGTCCCTGACGCGCCTGGTTGGCAGTTTTACCACCCCACCTCGCGCCGTGTCTTTGCGTCTCAGGACGTCACGTTCGACGAGTCGGTTCCCTTTTACCGTCTCTTCCCCTACCGCACTGCCTCGCTCCCCCCCCCGCCGCTCTTCCTCGCTCCAGGTGCTCCCCAGGTAGACCCCCTCCCCGCTCCCGGTCCTGCTCCTTCAGGTGTTTCTCACCTTCAGGTGTTTCTCAGGTAGACCCTCCTCCCTTGACTGCGCCGGTTGAGGTCACTGGTGACTCAGGTCCTACTGAGAGTGGTCCTGCTCGGGGTGCTACTTCTGGGGGTGCTGAGCCTAGGGGTGCGGAGCCTGGGGGTGCTGAGCCTGGGGGTACTGAGCCTGCGGGTGCGGAGCTTGAGGGTGTAGAGCCTGGTGGTGCTGAGCCTGAGTGTGAGGGGTCTGGGGGTGCTGAGCTTGGCGGTACTGACGCTGGAGGTTCTGGAGCTACTGAGGGTGCTGGCGCTGGAGGTTCGGGAGCTGCTGGAGGGCCTAGTACTGGTGACGCTGGAGCTGG